TTGAGCCCAGACCCGGCCCAAACCCAACCCAACCCGCAAATTGCCGGGTTTGGCCCGGCCCATTGCACACCCTATATGTAACCACTTATGCGCGCGCTATGTGTATACATCATTATCTAAACGCGTATTACAGAGTAATGGTATGTGATCACGTGATGTGAATACGCGTTTATCTAAAACTCTGGTGTGTTTAGACAAACCTAAACCTAGTATTTAAAATTAATTCTTTCCTGAATGTTTGATTTTATAACATACCGATACTATATTGTCGCGAAATAACACGCAAGGGTGAAATTACGAATTTCGGCCTAAATTAAGCTTAATTCAGGTCATTATTCTAAATAACGCCCATACACGTTATTTCGCGACAATATGGTAAGTTAATAAATAAAAATTCAAAATCGGCTAGTTTAACTTACTAGCTAATCAATCTTTTTAAAGTAGAGAGAAAAGAAAATGGGTGAATATAAAAAAAAAACTTGACAATTTATCGCGTTTTTATAAATTTCACGTTACACTTGATCGTGTAGTTTTATTGGTCATCACGTACGCGTGTGAATAGAAACATTGAGTTCATAGTTATTGACGTGTAGGCCTTCAGTAATGCTTCAACATTCGAACAGAAAAGCATTTATAGAAGCAGACTTTAATTTCATAAGAACAGTATGCTTTGATAGAATGTGGATGAAGTGGTTTATCGGGACTAAAGTAATCAAGAGCAAAACAAAAATATTTGATTTCAAGCAGCTATCTAATTTAGAAACATTTGACTACTTTGAGTTGTATTTTAAATTAGCAACTTGTAAAATTCTCTTGAATAAAATAGGTTATTATACATGATATCATCTTCATCAATGATACTCCAAATAACACGACTACTTTCGATATCATTAGCTTAATGATACCACAACAGTGTTTCAGCCTATAGCGGAAAGGATGAGATTTATAAAATTTTTCGATTATAAGTATCAAGCTTGTGTGTGAGATCTTTCTATATAAGAAACAGTTTGCTTTGCATATCTGGTCTTTATTCTTTATCCATAGTATTTTTGATCACTCATTTCTTATTTCAGAATTTATACTTACTCTACATATAACTCTGTTGAAGGTACAAATATATAATTCTTCAATTTTATTGATATTAAATTTATAAAAGAAAGAAAAAAAAATTGTAGACTAATTTCTATCCTGATTTTTTCGTCTCCATTCCTTTTTTTCACTTTACTCACAATTTTTTTTTACTCAAATTCATACATATAGTTCACTTTATACAGAAAATAAATAAACTCCACTTTAATATATATTATTAAATGATCAAATCGGTTTTGTATTTTCATTTTTGAGACTGCTTCTTTTTCGACCTTCGATTCTTTTTACCTGCTTCAAAATTAGCAGCTTGTTCCAAATGACGACCAATATTATCTAAATCTTTCACTTTATAAATTCTTACAATCCAATTTTCTGATGTAAATGCTTCTTCAAGAGTACTCAATTTAATTTTGTCTGCAGGTAATCGAGCTCCACGAACACGATCCTGCCCTTGGCCACCAAAAAGTTCATTATAATTATAATAACTCATTTTATACATAATACTGTTTCGCATTGTCGGTGTAGCTTCACTATCAACTCTATATTCACCACGTGCGGTGAAAAAGTTTCCTTCTTTTACGTCATCAGGGTAAACACCTTCAGCAATACGAATCATCCAAAGGAACTTGTTAATATCATCACCAGAATATCCCAATAAACCACCAAAAATAACAAGTACATGAGTTACATCATGTCGTCTCATTATTTCATATGCAACATCTTCAGAAGATGACATTGCTTTGCCAACAGTGGCAATATGTGTATTATTCCAAGTGTTATTATCTACTAAAACAGTTCTATCTGCCATACCAGCAATTTGATAACCATAATCCCACCATGACATAACTTTTGCAGAATCATCAGTGTTCTTTCGTAGCCAATAATAAGCTTCACGAAAATCATCAATAATATATTGTGATCCATCAGCTTGTCGAGAAGCAAGTACAATTGAAGGTGATGAATAAGCATTAGACGTTACCCATGTACAATGCCAAATAAAAATTACCAAAAAGAAAAAGAAATTTAAAAGAATTAATCCACGAGTATCATTTCCAATTATACCAAAAAATTGTTCTTTTTTTTTCTTTTTTTCAGATTTTGTGGATGTTGCCGCTGAACGAGAACTATCACCAACTTTTTTATGCTTATCTTTAGGTTTACTCTCTACAACAGGTGCTGGTTCAGAAGTTTCTGGATTCACAACGCTATAGTCAAGATAAGTATCCAATAATCGAGAGACTGTAATAGCAGAAGAAACACAAACAATTGGAGTCAGAGTTAACATTAAACGAACCATGACCCCAGCAAAATAAGATGCAGTGATGCCATATAAAATGACAAAAACATGTTCGTCACGTAATTCTTTGAAACAAAGGTATATTCCAGCGGGGAAAAGGAAAATTAACATTTCAAGATCAAAGAAAAAAGAAGGCCATGCCGTTGGTTGATGTTCTGAAACAGATGCAATTATAGGAATATATTTCTTTGCGTATCCAGTGTCCCATAATGAATAAAACCGACCAGTCCATGGAGCAATGTATCCACCAACTGTTAATAAGACTAATGCTGAAAACATCAAAATGAAGGCAATAAAAATAAAGCCTTTAAAAAGAACTTGAAATTGATTGGACGCAAGATGACTTCTTACGAGTTCGACAAAAGCAATGATCTGTAACAATCCAAATATTCCTTCAAAAATAAAATAAAATAAATTTAGATATATATATAATTATGAATTGAAATGATGAATTATAATATTATGAACAAAAAAAAATCACATATATATATATGTATATATTTTTTTACCTAAGGCAGCCATATGTTCACTTGTTCTTGTTGGTTGAAATCCAACAAAAGGGATTTGCATTGACATTAAAGTACCAAGAACATAAAAAGAAGAATATGCTACATAGAGCCTGGTGGAAAACCGGCCCATCAAAATCAGAGCAAACACATGAAGAGGGATAAGATTGATAATAAATACGTAACCACCTAAGAATAACGATAAATTGTTAGATTTAAAATCATAAAAACTATTATGTATATATAATATAAACTATTTTGTTAAATAATAATAAATTACCCCAAGCTGCTACCATATAAAAATAAAATAAAGCAGTTAAACCACCAAAGAATGCAGAACCCTCCTTAAGGGATTTGATCCATAAATAAAAGGTAAACATGAGTAAAAATATCGCGATGCCTTCATTATCGTATGAACCAGCAACTGAACGAGAAATATAACCGGGAGCTACCCCAATAAAGGCAGCAGCCAAAAGACCAGCAGAAGAATCCTTCATTTCAGAAGTCAAAAGATATGCAGCAACAGCAGTGAAAGCTGAAAATAAAGGAGCTAACAGTACACATATGTTGCGTATATCAACGGGAAAGTTGAGCGCGTGAAGAATGTTATGTATAGTAGCTGAAGTCACCATCAAACCAGGGTAAACCGTTCCACCGACAACACGGCCCAACGGATACCACGATCGTTCGTCGAACCAATTCCAAAATTCATAAAAGTTTGTTTGAACCAAACGGCGAGTTGTCCGATAATTAAACCATGGATCAAATTCGTGAATAACACTTTCAAAGCGAATAATACTAAATAATCTACTAGAAATTGCTACAGCAGCAATGAGACCTAGAATTATTACTTTTAATAGAGATGCCTGATGTTGCGGATCTAAGCCGAGCACCTTCATTTTAAAATAATTAATAATCTAGACACGTTTGAAACCAAACTTTTACAATTTCGCGAAAATATCTTAAGTATTTATGAGCACCAGTCATTTCGCGACACGACATCATGTGAAGTGTGACACGTGAATGAGGAATTATTTAATCCAAAATCTACAGACAAAAGTGCGTACAGCATCCGACTTTGTATATTACCATATCAAGGTTAGGTGATATGTTCGGTCCATTTTGTATGTAAAAAGTCTTTGATTTGTATAAAATCTTGAATGAGAAGTAAAATCGTAATTACGAAATCTCAGTATACATAGCTGTATAAAGTTGTATAGTGAGGATATAAAATTTTAAATTACTCGACATGAAGAGTCAACCATATAATACAAGATGACATCACTATACAATATTTACAGAACAGTTGTGCTGTGTTGTTTAGTGCATCGGGAGTACGTTGAGGGTGACCGTGGCTTGCGTTCTCCTGAATATTTTATGCATTGCGAATATCGATATCGATACACAGTCAAGGAATACTAATTTCCCCAAGTTTCGGCTCTAGCCAATCAGAAAATAAGATTAGGTGTAATTGTAAAAGTTAAAAAAATCAGAAAAAACCCTGCTTTTTTTGCATACTAAAAATTTTTTTTTTTTACGTATATACAAATATACGTAGTGATATTTACCGGTAGTGATACAAATCGAAAATCAATTAATCGAAAAGTTGGTAACTGTGTTGAATGAACATCTACTTTAGAGAAAAGATTTTTAACCAATTATGTAATTACAGAGTTAACCAATAAAATTAGATCATGCTACAGCTAATAGTAACTAAGTTACCAACTTAGAAGATTCTGATCATTAGTGCTATTCACTAACTTTATTACTATATTAACCCTAAATATATACGTCGTATGGTGCTATATAATATTTTATTACGTATCCGTATTTTGCTATATTTATCTGAAATTTTTGTGTCTGGACCTGATGATCACGAATAATTGTTTTTATTCTTTTATTCTTATCTCAGGATAGTTTTTTTGTTTTCTATATATATAATCGAACTTGAAAATTATTTAATTTGTAGATCTATAGAATTTAACCAATTAGACAAACTTCTAAAATGTGTGCCATGCAGAAAAATTCTTTAAGTTCAATTAAGATAAGGTTAGCATCTACACTAGGGTTAGGAATTAACAACATAGTAAAATCGGTCAAAGAAACTTTTTATTAAAGTGCAGATTTGTGAGAAGCAACTTTTGTTTGCCTTGAATGTTCCTAATAGTGTCACGTTGCACCTAATCTTGGGATCTGATTTGTAGTCCAGGAAATCTGTACTTCACATTTCAGAGTGCTCGCCGACAATCGTAAATTGGTTGGGATATAGTTATTATATTATTATTTTTAACGTTAATTAATTTTATTGGCTGACTGTCAAGTCACATGATGTATTGTATAGTTGGTAAATTTTTTCTAAAGTTTATTAAGTGGATAATCAAAAGGTTTAAGTTGGTTCAATTTTCGATTAAAATTTGTATCATGAATTATAGGATTATAGGACAAATTTATTGATGCTATACAGGGTTAGTTTTAATGACTGTATTGATATATTAAAAGTACAAATAAAGTGATAGCTGTAGAAAACCATATTAAAGGACCTTGTAATTTTCTTGATCTTGAAGGATCCTGCACTAAATTCATTAAAATGAGTTCTAGAGAATTGACAAAAGTAGTCAAAGAAAAATTTTTTTGAGCGTGTTCTCTCCCATTATCACCCATAACTTCACGGTCATGTACACCTGAAATAAAATCAGCTATCGCTTCCGAAAATTCCAGAGGCGTAGGTGAACATAAAACGCCCGTTATACCATTTCGAATAGTTTCTCTTGGGCCACCACTATTACATGCAATTACAGGTAAACGAGCATACATTGCCTCTATAGGCACAATTCCAAAATGTTCATTTGATGGGGTGTATAAAAGACAAAGTGACTTTGATAATAGATATGTCCTTTGTGCTTCATTAAAAGAGCACAAAAAAATTACTTGTGCCGATTCTGGTGGATGTGTTGTCGAACCGGGCATAATTGTAAAAGTTTCGAGTTCCAGTCTTGAAGCTACTCGATCCAATTCTTTATGATGATCCACATTTTCTTGCACACGATGATCATAGCCACCTAGTAAAAATTGAAGAGATTATTATATATAAATATATTTTTTTCTTTAAAGCTCACATATAAAAATAAATACATGCTTACCAGCAATTACCAAACGCATGCTGAGAAATTGTTTCTCTGATACCATATCATCATCTCGTAATCTTGCAAAAGCACGTATAGCAAGCACGATATTTTTTTTTCGTTCAAAGCGATTAATTGATAAAATTGTCACTTTCGAGCTAAAATACGTATAATTATAATAGTTTATTAGTTCAATAGTTTAATATATATAATATAAATTTATGAAATTATGGAATTACCTTTCTAAAATCTTAACATAGAGATCATCAACGTCCACTTTTTTCTCATATGCTTCAAAATGTATTCCAGGGTAGAGAACTTGAGGTGCCTTTCTTATGTTGGGAAAAGATTCACGAAACACGTTAGATGTGAAAATGCTATTCACAACGATGCAATTTGCCATGCCTATTACGTATCATTATTTATTATTTAAATTAATATTGATGGATCGATTAAAATCTTTTTTAAAAATGATACCAACCAGTTGTCAATTCTTCTAATAAATCAACAGGATATCGATAAATTTTTTTCAAAATTGATTCGCGTTTTGTTAATAATTTGTCCGGAAAGTGACAATAAAATAAAATCTATTTTTCATAATTTTCGGAAAAAATCATTAATATAAACTAAAAAAGGTAAAAAAAAAAAAAATTGATATGTAATCTATGCATGAGAATATAAATTACTTTTGCACCAGTAAATCTTAAAAATGGGATGCTAACGGATAATTGATCAATGAATATAATATCGAATTGATCTTTATCTCTCAATATCAAAGAAACGGTAAGGTGTAACTGTCGCAAAATTGCGCATATAATGTAAAAAGATCCAAGAAAGGTACGTGGGATAATGCTATTTCCACGTACTCTGATCTCAAGCGAGCCTAAAAAAGAAAAAGGAAATTTCAAAAAGGAAGCTATATGTATGACAACAGTCATATACATAAGTGTGCTGACACGAACCGTCTTTAGTTTCTTCAAAACAATGTTCACGATCGTGATGAGAAGTATAAATAACTACATTATGGCCTTTGGCTTTTAAACCGGTAGCAGCATCAACCACGAGACGTTCTGCTCCACCTTTGAATAAATAATGCGCATATATAAGTATAATCATCGGTCAACATTAAATCTAACAGTTTATATACAATTTATACAATTTATACAGTTTATACAGTTTATACAGTTCATACAGTTTATAGAGACTTACCGATACCAAGATCGGGATGTACGAAAGCTACTCTAAGAGTTTTTGATGACATTAAAACTATAATGTTTAAAAAAAAACTACAGAATCAAGGTTCAGGATTGTAAAAAATCATAAAATATTGCAAAATATTTATTGGATAAGTATTTATAGACAAAGAATAAAAAACAATCGTTATCGTTATCATCAACTATGTATTTAATATCGGTTATTATGAAAACAACACGTTCAAAAAATAACACGTTAGATCGGATCACCTGATAAAACTTAATCTGTAAAGTATAAAGTGATTCCTAATTTTATATTCAGCTACGTAAAGACTTACCAAATAAGAATTACATATCGATATATATACATAAATGACATATGTGTGAAAATTATCTAAAAATATGCATCAAAAGAGGACAATATTTACTAAAGTCAAATTATTTTTATAACTTTTATAATCGAACAAATCACAAGTCTGAATGCTAAAGCTAGATTTTTAATTATATGCATTGCATCTCACTACATGCGTTCATATACTTCATATGATTATTTAGCGTTAGATTACAGGCTTGAACCATATTATCGCTATAGGCAAAGTAAATAATCGACGTGCAAATATGTATATACTTAAATGATAACGATAAATATCGTTATTATTGTCATTAGCATTATCAGTTATGTTATTGAATAACATCCGAATATGAGAGAAAATCAATTACGTATCAATTTCTTTTACTAAGAAAATGATCGAAATTAGGTTTCTTTGATTTTTTTTTTTATTTTGACTCTGGAAATAAGTAATAGTAGTAAAAAAAAAAAAAATAGTCCCTTTTCTTTTCTTTTCTATATAAAAAAAAAAGGACAATAAATAGAAAGTTACATTTATAAT